TTGGAGTGACCGAATTATTTATATGACGTTGGTGTCGAGGTAAAACAGTCCTTAGAAAAATAGAAATGTCCCTCGTGGTAGAAATCATCTCCTTGAATGAATTTGACTAAGACGAGACTCGAAGAAGGCACTTGGTACTTGAAGAAGTTTTCTGAACTGGAGTCGAAGAAGAAACTTGATGACAGTACAACTAGTTAACTTGGTGGCGTTTGCTGGACTGACACGAAGAACACAGGTATCTGATTAGACGGTGATTTCTGGACTAGTTAACTTGAAGACGTTTCCTGGACTGACGTTGACACTACAATTTCCAATTATTGATAATAATATTATAATAATATTTTTAGAAAAAATTGGGTAACGAATTATATTTAGGAAATTTTGCCCCCGAAGCAAACAAAAAAAAAGTAAACTCCTCACTAGAAGTTCAATAAACACAATTATGATTTCTTCAGATAGCATTCTCTCATTAAATATCATTTTATTTCTTGAATATCACTTTAGAGTTTCCTTCATTAAATTGAGATTATAAATTCGTTATATCGATGTCTGTATATAAGAGAATCGTTAACGAGGACTTGTCCTCCATTGCGAGTTTTAACAAATCTAATTTTGCGGTCTTCATTCTGAAAACCATTGCCCGAAGCCTCTCCCTCTCTCTCTCTTTTTTTTGTGTGGTTACCGATATATTTCAAAGCATTGATAAAGACGATGGTATTCAGCCCCTTGAGGATCGGTGTGCCGGTATACAAAGACGCTTTCCCAAGTATAAAATGTTGGGGGGATGAGAAGAGACGGCCTCGAGAAGATTCTAATGATGGTGGCGCACCCGGCGGCAAATATCTTCTTCGATAAGTAGGGAAGCCAGCTACATGCCTTATTCCTTACACCCAATCGCAATTCCCTTCGCTGCATCCGAACCCATTGGAAACTTATCTTTTTTTTTTTGCCCTATGTATTAGAGTCGCACGAATTGAAGTCTTATGTAAAGAACGAGACATTTTCCGTAAAGCATTATTATTTCAGTTGGTTATTTCTTTCCACGTGGCACACCTCTCGTCCATGAGACATCTCTATTCCTCTTTTTTTTTCTTTTTCAATCCTTTTTGAAGAAAAAACAGCCAAGCAATTCACTTTGTTATCTCTTGCAGCTGTCATTCTTAAATAATGTGAAATCGTAGTTGGAGTGGTGCGTTTTCCACACTGACGCTCTTCTCTTGCAATCCTTTCGGTCCACAATCCTCTACCCGGACTTTTGAGCTGGATGCTAGAAACCATCCTGAGGGAATTGTCCTTCCATTGTTTGTGAAGTGACTTTACTCGGTACTGAAACTCGTTCGACAATGGCGGGTTCTTAACCCGAGAAAGATTTCAAGGGGAATTCAAATGGAGTGGTTGGGAGAGATTTCAATCTACATAGTTCGGACACTCGTTGTTTCATTTGAATTCGAAGGATTCAGTCAAATACTTAAGAGAATCTCAAGCTTTGGTTTTTGGTATATTGGGGTTTTATTGCTAATTTAATAAATATCTTAAGCTTTATAAATATTTAAAAAAATTGTTTCTTATTAAAAATGGCGGAGATATAAGCATTGGCGTGGATCAATTTTTCCGGAGGACTCCTTGATGGTGTACATGATTGGCATTTCAATTTTTGTCTGAAACAAATAAACAAATATTTTTCTTAAAAAGTGATAAATTTTGAACAGTGTGACGAAGCCGTTTAAAACAAAACATGATGATATTTATTTCAATTAATGGACTGCGATAAAGCCAAAGACAGTATAATGGTTTTAAAAGAGGAAAACGTGGGTTTCCAATCGATTCCGGTAGGGGGGGTTAAGTACTTAATGTTTAGTATTCAGGTGCTATTTGATTCCTTGGGTTGGTAGGGCTACGTGGTCTGCATTGTTTTCGAGACCAACGACTTACTCGAGCCGCGTTCTCGAAACGCGGTGCGGGGGAGACAACATAGATGGTAGTGTAGGGTTTGGGGTTGCAGAGCGAGAATTCTCCACGGTCGGAGGAATATTATCGTATGGCGTGCGGCTGGCACCTCCTTGCGAAGACCCCTTTCCCGACATACATTATACTAATTCCAGGTCATGTAACACCCACTTTGCTAAGACATTAGTATAAACCTAGCTCGCTCGCCGCGGATACTAAATCTTGCACGTACCTATGTGAAACCTTGCCTTCCCGCACCTCGATCTTCGCGGTCTGACTAGTCTAACCATGGGCAATATGTAATCCTGCAATCGGTGCGCTGTTGTGGTCTAATCTAATCTTTTGGTACTACTTGATTCAAATATGATTCATAACGATATTTTGACTTTTCAGTTCGCGAACTTTTTACAGACTTTAAATCGACCCCCACGGTATTTAAACTTGCAGCAATATTGACAACATCGGGTGGGAAAATCGTTATTTTCTTTTGCAACATCCGGTCATCGACCTGTGCTTTTTGCATAGTTTGCATTTTGACAGTGGTTTGATTCTAGTTCATTAAACTTGGACACACCACTCTTTGAGTTTCTTTATAAGTGTTGTGAACAATGAGATTAGCTCTGAGACAATATTTTTATTGATCTAAGAAATTTTTTAAAAATCTATTTGAATGTTGTGACAATAGAACATCTAGAATAATAAATATCGTTAATTAAAGACCCTTCCAATAACTCAAACTATTTAATTAAAAATTATATGAAATCTATTTTTTAATTTGTTTTATGCAAAAATAAATAAGTCAAAAATTTTTAAGGCTATTTTAGAGGAAACATTTTCTCGACTATATAGTTAAGTAGATTGTTCCATGAGACAATATAGATCTAAGGGACCATCCCTGAATAAACAGATCATCAATCATTAGGAGATAAGCCGACAATTTCACGGACCTGCAGACAGTAGACATACTCTAGAAATCATTATTATAGGTAAGTGCTTAGAACTATACAAACATAATCTTTTGGATATTGATTAACTTTTAGTATTGTTTAGTATTGTTATATATTTTGTTATTGTACAACGTTTTGTTGTATGATTCTGACTAAACATAACAAACTAATTTTAAAAGAAAAATATTCTTCTGCCTTAAGGTCAAAAAAGAACCTCTTTGTCATTAAAGACTCAAAGATATTATTAGCTTATTTATTCTTTAAGACATAAAGACGATTATAATTATAAAACTGATAATGGTATTAGATAAATTTTTAAAAATTTTGTATAAAAAATATTCTAATGGAGAGTGAAGGCAACTTGTTTGAAACTTCTTAAAGGAAACTTGCTCAAGGGATTTCAAGATGTAGTAATTAGCTACTATTTTAATTGAATTCCTGAACCCTTGGGGGCTGACGAGAGGCGTTAAGCAGACTTTTTCTCTACTCAAGATTCCAATGTGAATTTCTCAAAAAAACCTTTACTATCCTGAGGCTTTGTTTTTTAGTTCAAGTTTTATTTTCTCTTATACTCCACTCAGTCTTGAAAGGTCTAATCTGAAGATTCTACTAGTTTGCTGCTAACATCTTCCATTATCAACTAATTAAAACGAAAAATTTAATTACCACTTGTAAAATTCAATACATCTTGGCTCGAATTGTAAATTGTTTTTTATCCTCAGACGTAAAATAGGAAATAGAAAGTAACAATTCGGAAAGTTCTTTAATTTTGAATTCAAGTTCAGATTGTCAGTAAGAGGACACCTCTGTTGTGAAGTATTAGGGACATCTAGTTTGATCAAATCTAAGTTAAACTTATTTGAAAGCTTAGGTATCTGTGTCATTACACGAAAAAGAAATTAGCTTTTTATCCGTCAGTCGATAAGTAGACAGGCTTACCATATTGTTAAAATCTGGAAAATCAATTTATTGATTTACGTCTCAGTGTTAGCGAAAATTCCGTCTAGATGACAGTAGATTCACTTGATTTATAATAAAATAGGATCCTTTAGATTATGTAACCAAAGTAGTATTTTACGATCGTCCAGCTCCCGCAACACTTCTTTCGAAGCAATTCTCTTAAATGTTAATTACAATTTCTTACTCTCTGCTATTTATTATTACAATTCTGTTATTTTTCAATTACAATTTCCTACTATTTATTAGGGGCCCTTATTAGAATCTTATTATTTGTTAATTAATTATTTATTACAATTTTGTTAATAGCAATTAAAAGTTACAATTTGTTATTATACGATCGAATTATTAGTTCGAACAATTATAATCAACAATATGTAAATAATAATTATTTTGTTATTATTAATTTTATTATCGTTATTTTAATGACAAAACTTTTTTTACTTCTGATCACTTATGATATTTTATATATATTTTTTATTGTTTTGTCACTTTTCACTTTTTATCATCCCATATGATAAAAAAACAACTTTTTTTACTTCTGATCACTTATGATATTTTATATATATTTTTTTATTGTTTTGTCACTTTTCATTTTTTATCATCCCATATGATAAAAAAATTTTTTTTACTTCTGATCACTTATGATATTTTATATATTTTTTTTTTTATTGTTTTGTCACTTTTCACTGTTTATCATCCCATATATTAAGAATATTATTAAGAATGATGAAGACAGGTAAATTTTTCAATAAATTACAAATATCTAATATTCAAAGAATTTTATTCCTTAAAAGTCATAGTGAAAAAATTTAAATACAACATTTCAAAAATATATACAGTCAGGATAAAAAAATTGATATGAAAGTATTTTTAAAAAAAACACTTTTTTCATTTTTTCACAATTGTAAAAAATATTTTCTTTGTCAAAACTGATTCAAATTTTCTTTAGAAAAATAATCGTTAATGTTTCATTTTTTCTAACTATGTAAAAATATTTCCTATTTTAATTAATACTTTCTCGATTAGTAGAATCAGTCTTTACAAATAGTTAGAGGTATAATAGTTTCAAGTATGGCGAGAATTTCCACCTAAAAATCACGAGAATTATTTTCTTCAATACATTTCCTACCTATGTAAAATTCCATCTTCTTGGAAAAATTCATTTAATTCTTTTTTTGTCATGTGCGGAGAGAAAACATGACATCAACGATTTATATACAATTTTTGTCTTTTTTTTATCGTTGATTACAGAATTTTTATATAAATAATATTTACAATATTTTAATAAAATACTTTTATTGTCGACATTGTTTCTCCATATTTGCTTTCACTAGAGATTGATCTAGACATGAGGCTTCTCTTTTCAGCATATTCAGCAATAATTGCGAGCTTTCGAGAATCTGTGGAGAAAAATTATTATTATTATTTTAATTCTAAGGGAAAAATTCTTTTTCATTCTCTTCTTTCTTACCTTATTAATTAATTCTTACAATAATTTAAATTTTCAACATTAGAAAATATTTTTGATAGAAGCTTTAATTTTATGTTTCTTCTTAATTATTTAAATTAACTTGTTATAAAAAACACTTTCGATCAAAATTATATAGTTTTGTAACGACATCGATATAAACATGTTATAACCAATTTTTTTCTAGACCTGAAAATAAAAGTTCGTATGTTTATATATTTTTTTAAATTTTCCATATACCTTCACGTAGGCTGTTTCCGTTTCGGCAATTGTTCTGTCGTATTCGTTTCGAACTGAGGTTCTCTTTGCGAGACTGTCATTTAAACGAGTTAATTTGTAAGACATTTTTTCAATCTCACGCTGTAAACAATTTTTTTCCTCTTCTTCTGCTTCAATTTGTGCTTGTAATTCCAAACGTCGGGCCTTCATGTCTTCCAAGCCTATAAAGGAATTATATTTAATTACAAAGAAATACAAAGAATTACAAGGAAAATTATAAATATAAAAATATTGTTTTAAATAAATTAATATAAGATAAATAAATTTTCAATTTGTTCCATTTTTTAAAGGAAGAATCTAAAGGATAGTCAAAAGAAAAGTTAATTCAATATTAGAAATTCGTATTTTAAAAGAAAGAGATAATTTAAATTTTTATTTATTTTAGTAGAAGGATAAAGAATTCAATTAATTAAATAATATTAAAGTTGCATTTGAATAAAAATTACTATTTCTTATTAATAAGAAATATTAGTTAAATTTTAAGTTAAAAAAAAAAAAAAAAAAAAAAAAAAAAAAGTTAGTTAAAAAGTTAGTTTAAATTTTAAGTTATGTCACCTCGATCGTTTCTTATGGACTGAAAATTGTCATTTTTATGTAAACGCAAATTTAAAAGTCCAACGTTTCGAGTTAAATCATAACCTCCTCTTCGGGGACATATTAAAAAAAATTATTTTTAAAAACACTTAGTCAAAAAGTTCAAGAACTTATTAAGTTTATGTTACTCAGTGTGACGTTTTTCCATAGTAAAGTATATGCGACACGTGACCGAGATTTTTTATAAAACAAGGTAAATAAAACGAAAACATTCGGACAATGATTAAAATATATTTACTCCAACGTTTCGAAATCTAAATGATTTCCCCTTCAAAGAGTCTGAAATTAAAAAGTCAAATAAAGACAAAAAAAATTTGTATTACAACCTGAGACTAGAGTAGAGACATAAATAAAATATCCGTCTTTGTATAGAAACAATAAATAAAACATAAAATAATAAATAAATAACAGTTCACTATATTATTCGACAGAAGAAAAATAAAAATAATTTGTCAAATTAATAGTAAAAACATATATTGCAAACTGCAAAGTCAAAGTTAAAACTGTTTAAATGATATTCTGTTCAATAAAAATTCTAGCAAATGCAAATTTCTATAAATTAAAATTTCTCTTCGACTGAATTTTAATTCAATATAAATTATTTTTAATTTTTGTAAATTATCACAAAGTTAAAACTTATTTTGAGGACTCGAGAGTCGAAATACGTTGTCTTAACAATTAACCAATATTCAAACCGTTTTTTTATGTTAAATTTAAAAAAAGGGGAAAAAGTTATAAAAACCGTTATTCTCGAAATTATAGTTAAAAAAATTGTATACGTACCATTCGAAAAGTTTATACATATACAAATGTAAAATGAGAAAAGTTTATATACAATAAGGTTAGAATTTTACTTACATTTAACTAACTCTTGATTATAACTTTGCAAAGCGGCTCCGTGCTGTGACATTTTGGATAGTTTCCGATTATTCAATTACAATTTACAGGTGAGCAATAATAATTATTTAAATTTTCAAATAACTAGCACAAAAAAAACGTTTAAAACAACAACAAACATTCAAGAGGTTTTTTCTCTCTCTCTCTCTCTAAACTTTTGTCGTCAGGACTAGGTAACATTAAGCTCTATTCATTTCCTGTCGAATGCGTGCAAACTTTAAGTCCACTTCACAATAAAATAAATAAATTTTTATAAAACGTGAAGATACGAATTTCTTCGAGTCGAAGACTCGGAGTAATTCATATCTTCATGTTTTATAATAAATATCTTATAAGTTGTTGAATTTTAAAAATTGTTTGAATTTAAATATTTTGAAGAATTTTAATTCCTAGAAGATATTTGAGCTACCCAACCTTGCCTACGCATCAAATTGTGTACAAGCCCTAATACTAAAATTTGTGATCGTACCTTTATGAATTTCGTTTTGGCGGTTTCTCCTGTTACCATGCGTCACATGTACCTTGGTCGTTGTTATCAGCGGTCTCAGCGGTGATAGATTTTCAAGTTTTCTTTCAGAACACAAATATTAAACTAAATGCATTAAATGTGTTTCAAGTGAATAATAAACTAAGTCTTTAGTGGAGTCAGCAAGAGTCGCAATTGTTTTATTTGAACTAGTTATTAAAAGTGAATTTTCATCAAATATTAAAATTTTCCTTTGTCTCGTGAATTTTAATTTTGCGTTTGTGTTATTGATGTGATTTTTTTAAATGACACTGTTTGTCACTTAGGAAAAGTCTTTCATAAGATCTGGAGAAATTTCGGTAAGTATTATTTTTATTGATACAATTTTTCACTTTTAAAAGATAGGTTATATTTCTGTCATGGATTTTCTATTTTTTTTTGTTTCTAATTGAAAAACTTTGTCTCCATGTCTCTTTATTTTAACAAATTGAAATTGTCATTTTGTCAAATTTACAAATTTCAAGGAAAATTTTCTTGTTTTATTAAAAAATAAAGATTTTTTTAATAAAACAAGAAAATATTTTGATTTCATTAAATTTAATTATTGTAATTTTTTTCTAAAGAATTCAATTGTCATGAATTAAAATAGGTTAGAAAATATTTCGACCGCATTTGGATTTTTTTTTATTTTTTAATTAATATAAATTTTGAAATTCGTGCCTAATTTTTTTTAGAAAAAATGTTTTTGTTATTTATTTTTAATTTTTGTAAATTGCCGAAGAAAAAATATGATTTTTACTATTTTTGAATTTTTTTTTGTTCTTTAGGCTAAAAATGCTTAAAAAAAAGTATTATTTAATTTTTTATTTGAAAATTCATTTATTTTTCTAATTTTAAATCATAATTTTTTTTAATATAATAAATATAAAGAATAGAAAATATTGAAAAATTTTGATTTTAAAATTAGAAGAATAAACAAATGAATTTTCGAATAAAAAAAATTAAATAATAGTATTTTTTGTATTTTTCACCTAAAGACAATTTTGAAAAAAATATTTCAAAAATAGTAAAAATCAAATTTTTCGTTTGATAATTTTTTTATGCCATGGAGAGAGAATTTTGTAAAAGTATTTTACAATTTGGAAAAAAAGAGCAACAAAGCAAAATTTTTACACAAAAAATGTTAAACTTTAAATAAAAAACTTATGCGAAATTTAGTAAAGTTATATTAAAATTTAATTAATTTAATAAATTTTTTAAAAATTTGATATAATTATACTAAATTTTACATTTAAAATAAATTTTACAGAATTTAATAAAATATTCTCTCTCCGTGTGGATACAAAAACATTTTCTATAAAAAAATTAGGCATTGGTTTAAAAAATTAATTTTATTAATAAACTAATTTTTTAGTATATTATTTGTTTATAAAATGTTAATAATTACAAAATTGAATTCCAAAATTCTGTAATTGTCTGTTTAATTCCAAATAAAAGTTCTAACAATTATTAAAAACGATTTTCAATTCTTTTAGAATTTTTTATTCAAAAGTATTTTTAACTATCATTAATGATAAACATTTTACAAATATTAACAATTCATAACTGTTTCAGGTTATTTTTTATCTAGAATAAATATATTAATATTTATTTCCACACATTTCATTGAAGCTTGAAAAGAATGTGCTAATATTTCATAATGGATACTACATTTGAAGTTGTTAACGAAAATGAGGAAAATAATGAGAATAATTACGACACTAATGAAGAATCTGCTGAAAATGGCAAACGAAAAACGATTAATGTAAGTTACATATTTCTTTTAATTCAAATACATAAGAATAGTTTTCATTACCTTTAGAGAAATTTTTTATTTTTACTAATTTTTTAATTTAGCTATAACTAAATTAAAAAATTAATTATTTAGTTTAAACAAATTTTATTTTTACTAATTTTTTAATTTAGTTATAATTAAATTAAAAAATTAGTAAAAATAAAAAATTTCTCTATCAATTAATAATAATTAATTAATTAATCCTTAATTAATGATCCAAAAGTTTTTAACATTCAAATGAACGAAATATTTTTTAATAAAAATACTTTCATATAATTACCAATTGCAATAGAAACTAAAAACTTATATTTTACATTCAGAAACTATAATTATTATTTTCTATTGTAAATTTATTTTAACCGAAAATTATTGTAGTAAAACTTAAATTTGAAGAAGAAATAAACAATTTTTTTTCATTTGAACGTTGAGAACTTTAGGATTATAAAATTTTATCATTTTAATCTTTTTTTCCTTTTTAAAAACTAAATTTTAACTCAAATTCTGTTTTCCTTTGTAGAAACTAAATTTTCATATCTAAAATTTTAATTAAAATACTAACTGTAAATTGTTTATTTAAACTTTAATATTTATAAATATAAAATGTATATTTACTTTAGGAAGAAACTCAATCTTTAAAGAAAGCAAAAATTTCATCAGAAAACGAATTGTCCGATAATGATGATAAAGAAAATGGTCTAAAAACTGAATCTATTAAAGCACCCGAGGAAATTAATGAAGAAAGTGACGTCGAAATGGAACTTCAAGTTGGCGACGATACTGAAGAGGAACTTGAATTGAGAGATAGACAATCACCTTCAAAAAATGTGGAAACAACTGATGAGAAAGAGATAAAAGTCGAAGAGAATAAAAAAGAAGAGAACAATGATAATGATGATTTGTTAAAAATTAAAGAAAAATCTTCAAGCGACTCGGAAGATAGTGATAAGAATATAAAAAGTACGCGACGAAAACAGAATGAGAAAAAAAATAAAGTAAATTCCAGTGATTCGGAAAATAGCGATGCGATTGAGAAAAAAGCTAAAGATTCCACGAAGGAAATAAAGAAAAAAGAAGAAACTTCAGATAGTGAAAGCGAAGTGGAAAAAAATGCAAGGAAAAAAATTAAAAAGCCTCCAGCAAAAAAACAAACGAAAAATACAAAAAGAATTAAATCGAATAATTCTGAAGACGATGATAGTGAAAGTGAAGAGGAAATATTTAGGAAAAAAGAAAAAACCCCTCCGAAGAGGAAAACTAAACGAAAGGTGGTAGAGAGAAAAAAATTAGAATCTTCCGAAGACGAGAGTAATGAAAGCGATGATGAAACGGAAATAAAGAAATCGAAAAATTCTAAAAAGAATCAAAATAAATCTGAAGATAGCGATGTTGCAAAGAAGCAGAAAAAGAAAGTTGTCCCGAAGAGACAAATTAAAAGAGTCGTAAAAAAGAAAAAGGCTTCAGAAGACGAGATGAGCGAGGATGAAAAAAAGAAGGAAAAAAACGAAGAGAAGAAAGATTCTTCCGAAGAAGAGGATAAAGGAAAGAAAAGCGAGAGCGAGTCTGAAGATAGTGATGCAAAGAAGAAAAAAAAGAAAGTTCCACCAAAGAGACAAAATAAAAGAGTCGTAAAAAAGAAAAAGTCTTCGGAAGACGAGATGAGCGAGGATGAAAAAGAGAAAGAAAAGAACGGAAAGGTTGAAGAGAAAAAAGATTCTTCTGACGAAGAGGATAAAGAAAAGAAAAGCGAAAGCGAGTCCGAAGATAGCGATGCAAAGAATAAGAAAAAGAAAGTTCCACCAAAGAGACAAACTAAAAAAATAGTAAAAAAGAAAAAGTCTCCAAAAGACGAGATGAGCGATAGTGAACAAGAAAATGAAGAGAACGAAAAAATCAAAAAGAAAAAAGAATCTGAAGATGAAGATAAGGAAGCAGAGAAAAAGAGTGAGAGCGAATCTGAAATTAAAGAAAAAAAGAAAGTTACCCCAAAAAAACCAATTAAAAGAACTTTAAAAAGAAAAAAGACTTCAGAAGATATGAGCGAAAGTGAAGAACAGAAAGAAAAGAACAAGAAGCTCAAAGAGAAAAAAGATTCCTCCGAAGATGAAGAGAAAGAAGCGGAGAAAAAGAGTGAGAGCGAATCTGAAAGTAAAGAAAAGAAGAGAAAAATTCCAGCGAAAAAACAAGCAAAGAAAAAGGAAACAAAAGAAGTTGCAGACGTCAAGGAAAGCGAAAGTGAAGGAGAAAAGGAAAATGAAAAGAGTAAGAAGGAAAGAAAATTACTTTCAGACGAAGACGAAAAAAGTGGAAATGAATCAGACGCCGATGTAAAAGTGAATAAGAAGAAAGTTCCACAAAAGAAGCCCACGAAGAAGAAAAATGAAAAAACTGATACAAAAAGTGAGGAGGAAGTCGATAAGGAGAATAAGAAAACTGTTAAGAAAGTCAAACAGTCTAATAAAAATGTAAGTCAATTTTAATGAATTTATTAAACTATATATTTATTTATTATTATTATTTTTATTATTATTTATTGATTCTAAATTACATTTACAGAAAAAGGGCAAAGCAACAACAAAGAATGATGAAAAATTATCTTCCAATGAAGAAAGTGAAGGCGAAGAAAAAAATGATAAGAAATCGAAGAATAAAGTAAGTTTTAAAATAGTTGCACAATTTACAAAGAAAAGAAATATTTTGCATTAATTTCCCCTTATATCATAAAAAAATTGAAAGTACATCAAAAAAATATTTTTTATTTCAAAAAATTGTTTATTTCTAGAATCCTGAAGAGAATACAAAGATAAAATCATTGAAAAGATATATAAATGCTGCTGGCCTGCGAATAAGCAATTACAATACTTTTTGGAAAGATTGTAAAACAATTAAGGATCGAGTGGAATTAATGAAGGAGTATTTAGAGAAAAATGGAGTTTCAGGCAAACCAACACTTGAGAAATGTGCCAAAGCCAAAGAAAAAAGATTATTTCAAGCTGAAATCTCATCTTTGGACACAAGTCTCATCATTTCTTCAGGTATTTACAAATATCCTTATTTTATTATGAAAATTTAAAAAAAAATTAAAGTCATTCACTTGTTCGAATTGTATGAATTCATTTTCACCCATGGGCCGAAATAACGCGTTATTTTTGCACATGGGAGAAAATGGTCGGACATTTTCATACATTTCGAATAAATCAATTGACTTTACTCCGTCTTCAATTTAAAACCGTCATTTTTGTGCACGTGGGATAAAAAATAAATTTTTGAAAACTTTTTATTAAATATTTAAAGAGTAAAAAGTTTTTAAAAAAATTGCGCGTTTTGGATTTTTTTATTCAAAAATTCAAATCCTTAAATTACAATTTCTGTGGCTTTTTTAGAGCGCCGCACTCGTAATCGCAAACGCAAATCAGTCTCGCCGTTACGACGATCAGAGTCGCCGCCTGCAGAGTCAAGCGGAAATTTTAAACGTATTAAAGCACTCATTGATAGTGATTCCGAGTAATTTTAGATTAAGTACTAAGTTTTACATTAATTATTAATAATAATAATTAAGATTTTTTTTTATATATAATAAGTATGTTATTGACAAAAAATAATATTTTTATATTCCTACCCTTTAAGTAGTATAACAAACGTCTGTCAGGTTAGTTTCTCAATTTGTAAGTATTTACAGTCGGCAATTGTTTTATTAGTAATCAAATTACAAACATCCACTGTTGGTAATTTGATTACTAATAAAACTTATGGACCTTGAGATCAGTCCAGAAGTCTCGTTCGTTATGCTACTCCCGTTAAAAAATTGAATTTCTTTTACATGTTTATAATGAATATTTTAAGTATTATTTTAGTTTAAGAAGACTAGAAATTTACACAAAATATATTTTTTGCATTTCTTGAAATTAAAAATAAAAGAAAATTATGTTATAACTATAAAAAATGTTGTGTTAAATTCGAACGTTTTGAAAGGAAGTGAGAAGAAACAGGTAATTGAAAGAAGAGTGGAAGTTTTATGAATTATGGAGAATATTTTCTGATGGCAGAAGTTATTAAAATATAGAAACTGAATAAGGAAGACTTTAATCGACAAATGTACGAAGTGTTTAGTTTGGAAAAATGGAGTTCAAATTGCAGTCGCAAACGATGAAATTTTCGTTCCAAACTCCGAAAGTTTGAAAAAAGCAAAAAAAAAAAACTCCAAAACAAGCAACTGTTTATAATAATTCAAATAGGATTAAAATTGGTGAGTAATTTAAAACCATGAACCAGGAAATTATATGTTGGAAAAGTGTTAATATTCTTTACTTTTATAGGTCTAGCTCGCAATAGAAAACGACAATATAAAGATTCCATGGCTTTTGATAATCTTCACGATGGACTACACTGAAAATAATAAAAGCACGCTGGTGCCCTTGTAGAGAGAGTTGCAAAACTCTAACGGAAGGAACGCAGGTACACTGTTTAGAGCGAGCTGTTTACTCTTTTTAAGGAGTAGCTGGTTGCCCTTTTAAAAGAAATGAAGGGTAATTTCAGCTCCCAAAAAAAGAAAGATGCTCGCTTTTTACAGTTAACTGCTAACCCTCATGATAGAGTCCGCTACTTTCTTGGATAGAGGTTATCAGAACGCTTTAAACTTTTTCAGTGTATGTCATGCAATCCAGATTGGAAATAGATTCAGATATTATCACCTCATCAATGTGCCTCTGACAGACTTGATACAGACATCCATAGTTCACTCAACAAGGTAAAGTATGCAATTAAAAAATATCAAGAAGCTCAGAAACTAAAAACTTTCTCAACGTTCGGAGAGCCGCACTAATACCAGTCGGGTAGTTCTCAGAACGTGGAGCGAAGTTTTTACATCTGGAGCTTCAAATGATATTTGTTTAACTTATAAATTGCATGAGTCCAAAACCTACGACCCACAGTGTGGAAAACTGTTGATTTTTGTGACAAAATCGTAGAATTCTTGACCGAGTTGATATAATTTAATAAAAAAAATTGTACATGAAAGCTGAGTTTCGATAGATTATGGGAAAAATACGGAGAAGCTCCTAAAAAATGTTTTCACCTATAAAAAAATTACGCAAAGTTGGAATTTGACTGAAGAAAAATGGTTTTCATTGTACTGACAACACAAAAGCGTTGAAATCATTATCTGTATTGACTACAATTACGTAGTTTTTTATGCTGAATACTAATCCGATGCCTGACCCATGTTTTATGTTTTTGGGGTCGCTGATAACGAATGTGACCTCCGAAACTTAAGAATTATTATTAATTACATAACGTTTTCCCTAACGCCTTGCGAGGAAATCCATGTTGGATGTTTTTATAATTGTAACTAACAATAATTTCATTTTTAATAACATTTTAGGTTGCTTTGGAAATTTTATATAAGTTAATAAATAGTAAACACGAAAATAACACAATAAATTATGTGTACAAATAAGTTAGTTATTTAGTTAGTTACTTTAGATAGTTTATTTTGTTAGTTAGTTAGTTAATTAGTCAGATTAGTTAGTTCAGTTAGTTTTGTTAGTTAATTTATTAGTTATTTACTTGGTTTACTCAGTTATTTACTCATTGTCAGTTTAGTTAATTTAGTTACTTAGTTCGTTAGTTTAGTTAATTTATTAGTTAGTTAGTAATTTAATTTAGTTAGTTAGTAAATTAGTAAGTTAATTGAGTTACTTAGTTCGTTAGTTTCTTTAGTTTGTTATTTTAGTTAGTCAGTCACTTAGTTAGTTAATTTAGTTAGTTAGTTCGTTAGTTTTTTTAGCTAGATGGTTTAGTTAATTTTGTTACTTAGTAAGTTAGTTAGTTAATTTAGTTACTTAGTTCTTTAGTTTAGTTAATTAGTAAAATTTTATTCCATCAAAAATAATATCAACATGGATTAGTTTAATCTTTTAAAATAAAAATAACAATAATACATAAGTAAATACTACAGATTCTCCAGCAATTTACTTTCGCCACGGCTTTTCAAACAGTTGTGAAAAGTATCACTTTCGTCACGGTTTGTAACACTTGAAAGTTGCAGTTTCAGAGCGGGTGTTAGGGAAAAGATTTTACCAAATTCCAATTTTTTGGATATTTTTGAATTGTATGTAATTATAAAACTGTCTTTCAAAAATTATTTAGAAATATTTTTAAAAAAGAAAGAAGTATTTAAATATTTATTTAGCAAAATTATACAAGTTTTGATTAATTGAATTTAAAAATCAGGGAAATATAAAATAAAATTTTTGTGACAACACTAAATTAAATAAACGACTTGAAATTAAGTATACTAACAGATGAAAGGGAAAGAAAGTTAAAATTTAAAGAGAGAAAATCCAAATTTTGTTATTAAAATTCATTAGTTTAAAAAAATATTTGCAAAAAGGATGTTATATTTTTATAATCAGAGCAGAATTTTATTCAAAAATACAAGGCTATAAGAAAGAATAATTTAATGCTAAAAATTAAACATTGAAAAATCTAGTATATTTGGTCCTTAGTGTTAAAATACATTTGATTTTCAAAATTGTCTATGAATCGCTATTTATAAAAGAACAAATTTTCAAACAGGATACAATGATATGCTTATAATTCTTTTTTTTTTGGTAATAGAGAAGAAATTTCTAGGCATTTCCTAAAGCTTTTTGTTCATTCCAAATATTTAGTAATTCGTCTGGATTCCCATAGCCGTGTGACGTGATGACGTACTTGTAATTATATTTGTTGTAGTTCTTCTTATAAAAATGAAATTCACCACAGTGAAATGGTTGTATTTCAGCTTTTTTCGCAACAAATCCAAGATAAATGTCATCGAATCTAAAGTGTTTTGTGTAGAAACTGGTGAAATACATGTCAATAAGGGCTTCCCTTGAAAGAATGTACGAACCGGCGGTTACATAAGGCGGCCAAAGATGATATGGATATTCATTGAGAGAAACATACCATTTTGATGTTTTGTGTCGATGGGGCGAGGAAACGAAAACAAAACCAGCGTACAGTCTCACGTCATCCGGTAATTCGAAATCAAAAACTTGTCGCTTTTGTCTTTCGGATCCTATTATTGTCGGAGTCGAGTTTCGGTAATTAAATTCATCATATTGGGTAGAATCTATTGTTTCTGTTCGATTAGTTAATTGCGAACTATCAGAGTTGTTGATTCTAGAGTTATCAATTATTCTCTCGCTTTGAGCAAAATTATCGTCCGGTACTTCTAAATCGCGAATTTCCCTCTTCCTCTCGACACCAAATCGTCGGGTTTCTTTTCTATAGTCTGGATAATTTGTCGGATTTCTTACAAATCGTAGAACATTCTTTACAGACACGTACATGTCGTCATCGACAAACATGTAGAACTTGGATTTTGAACATTGCTCAACAGACCATTTAAAGCCGATCATTGTTTTAATGGTATTATTAAAATAAGAGTCTATAAAATCAGCTTGAACTATGTCTTGGTATTTTTGTGATTCGAGTTTAATTTTCGTTTGGAGTTCTTCATTATCTGGCCGTACACCAAGAAGGAAAACGGTTCTTGTTGTAACGTCAAAGAATCGTTTCTCTGAACCCCAGGAAGTTCTAATTGCAGTTCGACGATTGAAATGATCTGCTGATGATTTGACTAGATAAACAACTCGTAGTGATTGATATTGAATATCGTTACAGGAACGTTGTGGAGTGATGATAAATGTTTGATTGTATTCGTTGATTGGCGGTATTTCGGGTTTTTGCTTATTACGCAGTAGCAACACGGATGGTTGAATATCTCCATCGTAGGGATAGGAAAAATTCTCGTCATATGTAATTTCGAATATGTGAGTGAAGGCACCAAAGACATCTAATAAAGCAATGCTGATAATTATTAATATGACGTATTTTAATTTTATCCTCGATAGTAAGCGGATAATACGATGAAAGATCGCCCTCACTGCCACGTACATTGTTTGTCAAATTTCTTTTGCATTCTATTAGATGTTTTCACCTTTAAAGAAAGAAACAAAAAATTAGCCTAATTACAATAATTAACTAAGAAAAATTTTAGTTCAAAACAATTAAAATTTTTAAATGTAATTGAATTTATAAACGGTTTAAACAGTAATTTTTTTAAAATTTCAATTGTTATGAAGAAATTAATAATAATTAAATATTGATTTAAAGAATTATTTAAGTTTAAATATATTTAAATTCAAAATATTTTCTACAGAACGTCACAAAAAATTAATTCCACCCCCCCCCCCTCTAAGGCGTAACGTAGTTTATGAATGGCCCCTTTTATTCTTTTTAAAGAATATTGAAAACTTTTTAAATAATTGAAATTTCTTAAAATTCTATATAGAAAATAATTTTTTAAGAAATTTAAAAAATTTTTTGAAAATAATAAAGGGAAGTTTGGTGCATTCATTTTTTAACATACATATTAATTTTAAAAATATTTCAGTTCTTTTTATAAAGATAATTAAAATTTTTTGAAATAATTGAAATTTTCTAATATTCTATAAAAAGTAACTGAATTTTTTAAACGGTTTAAATTACTTTTTTATATTTACTTCTATTTTTGTAATAAAATTGAATTTTCATTTGAATTGAATTTTTAAAATCAATTGAAATTTACTTCTTCTGATTGTATTTTTGGTAAATAAAGTAAATAGTTAACTTTTTGTAAAAATAAAATCTTTTTTTTAAAGTATTAAAAAATGTTCTTTAAATTATAAAAACAAAAAATATTAGAAGCAGAAAAAAAACTAAGAAAGAACTGACTAAATTAGATTTGTAAAAATTATTTCTTAATTTTAACCTACTAAAAAATTTGGTAAATTGAGAGAAATTTTCTAAAAGAAAAATTGATAGTAAACGATTAGGGAAAAAAAAAATTTTTAATTCACCTTTTTCTGTTATTTAAAAACTTCTTCTTATATCTATTAAAAATATTACCTTTGTATTTTAAATTCGAATCATTAAAAATTCAAAAAATAAATGACAGGTTAGAATGACACTGAATAAATTTTCCAATCGTACAATTGCAATTTTTTAACTTACCTCAAAATATTTTCTATCATTCCAAATTGAGTAGATGATTTTTCAAAAAATTTTTTCAACTTTCATTCAAAAAAATAAATATTTAGAAATGGTGAATTTGTACCTAACCTTAAAATTCGAAATTTACTCATTATGCGATTAATTTTATAACAAGAAAATTTTTCAGAATAGAGTCACTATTAAAAATATCACTAATTGTCAATAAATTGTATATTCTAAAAAATTTACATATTTATTTAATTTTTAAATAACAATGCGGTATAATTTTCGATATTATAAATCTCTTTAAAATATGTCGTCTGCTTTGGACAAGGATTGAAGGGGGGGGGGGGTAGAATATAGTGGGTCATTTCACAGCGAATTGTATTCCACTTTAAACATTTCTTCGCAAGTACTTACAAAATGATTCCTTTTCAAATAAATTTTCTACAATAAAAATTTGAGTTTAACATTTTTCAAAATTCCTCTCAATTTTATAAATATATTAAAAATAAATAAACATAAATTTGATCCGCCGGATCGTAGAAGGGCATATAGCCAATGTAATACAAATGGGCTATATACCCTTCTACGATCCGGCGGTTCATTTATTAGGTTTAAATTTTATTTTAAACTGTTCTGAAAATAAGGATTACTTTTTATAGTTTCGTTTTATTTTATTAATATTTTATACTTTTTATATTTATAATATTTATATTTATTATTAGTTAACACTTTTATACTTTTTTAGAAATTTTAAAATTACAAAAATTCAAAGAATTTTACCGCTTTTAATTTGTTTTAAAAAAAAATATGAAATTATATATAATTTTTTATTAAATAATAATTATTATATAATAATATCTTTATTAAATTTAATATAATTTTTTGAAATTTTGATTTGTACCCAAGTGGAACAATTTGAAGTGAATTGACCAGGCGAAAGAAAAAAAAAGTAGACGAAAAGTACAGTCTGATAAGTGCTGCCCTCATTGAGTAGGTTGAGAATTAAAATAGTGCTAGTCAAAATAATCTCATATTTATCTGGAGCACGCGAAATTTGATTGAAAAATAAACTATAATTTACATTGACTTTTGCACTTGGATTGTGAAAATTAAGTGAATTGTGGTATAATTATTAATGAATAATTAATTATTTTATTGAAAAAAAAAGTTCAACGACCCCAACTTGGTGTTTAAGTGTGACAAAACGGAGTATATAGTGGCTCCGACCGGCCATGTTTATACCGTGAATTCGGAGTTATAGTGAGGCCGCCGCTTTTGTATTATAATATAAATATATTTCGCGAGTGTTGCCGGGAAAAAAAAATTTTTAGGAAACATCAATCTTGAAGTCACGTGACACGATCCCACTGGTGAAATGGACTCCAATGACAGGGGTGAGTGTCCCCCGCTTATCGGAAAAGCCCAGCAATATTGAGCACTTTGACACCATAAACTCTTGTATTCGAATCGGGCCCGCACACCAAGGGGGCAATGGCAGTGTCAGGGTCGAAACGGAACTAGTTCAGTGACCGCAATCACAATCATTTTAGGCTCATTTTCCATGCTTTTTTTCCTCTATTAACTCTATGATTTATTCTTTAATATTAAATTGCATGTTAAATTAAATTATTTTTTCCCGCGCTCTCCTTCCCTTATTTGATGAGTTGTAAACGATTTGCGAAAAAGCACATTTTCCACGCAAATCTATGTCAATTTAGTGTCGATACTTTTTGTTTGGACTGTACTCTCCATTTTTACGTGAATGGCAATGGGGAACGTGTTTTGCTAAAGAATTTTCGAAAATTAAATCTTTTATTTTACAAAGTTATGTTGTTTAAGAAAACTTTTAAGATTAAATAACTGGGATTTTAACAGCGGGGGGAAATTAAAATAACCTACAAACAATTGTATTTTATGTTGAGTTGTATGAGAGGGAGAGAGATAAATGTTTATTTTTACAAGATGTTTATTAATATTTCCTCTCGATCCCATTGAAATTGAGGGCAGACCTGATATCAGATTATTTCAGTTCTGCAGTAAGTCACTAATCTGACATAACCTAGAACAATAGGCACTGAACTTTACACATGAATTAAATCAATTAAATTGTGCCTTTCGTATACAAATAAGTACTAATATTATACAAAGAAAAGTATGAAATTTTTCTATGACATTTTAAAATCGGTTAAACATATAATTTTTTCTCGTTCTTTATAGAAAAATATTTTAAATTAAAAATTTTTTTTTAAAATTTTTTTAAATTACTTAAAAGTTGAAGAAAAATGGAAATTTTCTTTCATTGACAACTTTTTTCGAAACTCAATACTTTCAAAGTTATAAACTACTGAAAATAGGTCTACTTTTAAAAATCCTAAATTTCGAAAATTCATAACTCGAAAATTTTGGGCAATTATACAAAAATAAAAATTAATATAATAATTAATAATTTTATTTAAATATTTTTAAATATTTTTAAAGAAATTCAATTATTATAAAAATTTCCTGATGAGGAATTAATCAAAGTCGAAACTTGTAGCAATTTATTAAAATAAAACGTTAATAAACGAACATCTTTAACCGTAAAAGACCTCTAAATACTATTACCAATATTATTATTAGAAAACGGTTCTAAAATAAAATTAAGAAATTCAATTATGTTCAAAAATTTTTTAAAAATTCTGGTCAAAAATAATAATAATAAATAATTTTAATTATCTTTTAAAATAATAAAATTCTTCTTCAAAATTCAATTATATTTTCAAAAAATTTTTTATAAAATTCTAAAAAATTATTATAAGAATTAAAAAAAATTTCTATAAGAAATATAATACAAATTTCACAAGAATTCAATATTTACCAAATTTTTTTATAAATTTCTTCGCAATAATTCAATTATTTTAATAAATAATAAAATTTTTTACAGAGATTCAATTATTTTTATTCTAATAATAAAACTTATAGAATTTCAATTATTTTTAATACAATTTTACCCGAATTCTTTATGAGAATTCAATTTTGAGAAACATTAATTTAATAAATTATTTATTTGCAATTAATTTGTATTTAAATAATAATTGAATTCTTGTAGAATTTTCGAGTAAAAATTTCTTTAGAATTGAATTTTAATTAGAATTTTCGATAATAATTGAATATTAAAAGCATTATAGCATAAATTTTTAGAAATAATTCAATTTTGAAAAAGTTTAATTGAATTTTTTTTGAAATTATTTTAAGTTTTTATTTTCTAAATATTTAATTGAAGAATTTTCACATAATCAAATTTTTATAAAATTGTATTGTAAACAAATGGATTTGAAAATTCTCTAGGAACTTTTGCAAAAACTATTAAAAATAATTGAAATCCTGTAAAGAATTTTATTATTTATAAATTATAAATATAATTGAATTCTTGTAACGAATTTGTAATACATTTTTTTTAATAATTGAAATCCTGTGAAGAATTTTATTATTTATGAAAATAATTGAATTCTTGCAACGAATTTTATTACATTTTTTGTAAATTATTTAACTTTTTTTTTAATTTGGTGGAAATTAAAATTATTATAAGTTGTTGAATTTAAATCTTCTAAAGAATTTTAATTCTTATGGAAAAATAATAATGATTAAATATTTATTAGAAAATGAAAGTTATTGTTATTTTCGAATAATTTTACAATTAAAAAAAATTCGTAAACAAATGTAATAGAACATTTTTTTGAGTATACAATAATTTTTAAAGTGATTCCGAATATTCTTTAGTGTCTTTTTCTTTAGAGTACGTTTTTTTAATTTGATGGGAATTATAAATATTAGAAATTCTGATAGCGAATTAATTTTTTATATGCAAATTTTTTCAAGTTTGCAATAAAAGAGATAAAACGAATTATATTTATAATTTTACAAATTTATTATATTAATAAATAGTTTAAAATTTCTTTTTGATTTAATTTTTCCTATTATTACATAAAATTTAAAAGTTAAATTAAAAACTTAAATATAATTTTATTAATTTTGAAACTGAATCTTAATTTATGAACCCAAAATTATACTTTAAATTTAATTACTAACATTTATAATTAAATTCATAATTTTAATGATTTCATATTGATATCACAAAATCAGACTCACACAGAAGGCAAATTAAATTTTAAAAGATTGAATTCGTTGACAAAATTTTTACAGATTAAATTCGCAAAATTGCTATTTCGATCTTTAAATAAGAGATTGTCATTTTCGTCAATAGTCTGATTGAATGCTATTATTTCATTTTTTAACTCATTTATAATATCATATTGTGACGTATTAAGATTTTTGGTTTTAATACATCCACTCAATTTCTTAATCTTCTTTAATTTTTTTAATATAGTTTCAGTTAATTGAAAAGACTGTAAAGTCTTTTCAATTAACTGAAACTGATTCGGTGTTTTAAAAGGGTTTCTTAATTCAGTTATACAAGTTCTTATTTCTGCTTTTATCCTTTTGATTTTACGTTGAGAAGAACAGGAGAAAATTTTGCTCCACGATTCTACATAAAATGAATGAATTTGAAAACATATGTTAAGTATTTGTTGTCGTGCACTGTAGAAATATATATTCGTCAGTTTCTGCAATTAGATATAATTAATATACTTAAATATTCAGATGGTTTTTATAAAACTGAAACGACACTTAATTTTGAAAATTAAATATTTTTTATAAAGTTGCAACTTGCACCTATATCAGGCTAGGACCTACTTAATTTTTAAAATTTTTATGTTAGTTTAAAACAAATATTTATGTTTGAAATTTAATTTTCAAAATTAAGTAGAGGTGCTGATAATTGCATGTTTCAGCTTCAAAATTTTTCTATCCAAAAACTATTTTTTTTGTTCTACTTACTTGATAGTTGATAAATGGTGATGCCTCGAGTGAAAATAAAAATTGCTTTAATTTGTAGATTGCAGAGGGTACATTTACATAATGATCGTATATTATTAATTTCGATTGACTAGCAATGTCGTTAATTTCATTTACGATTCTTTTTAATATACAAAAAATTCCTTTCATAAAAAATTTATTTTCTTCAGTACTATAACCACTCAAACTTGTAGTATTAACATGTACCATACGTTCTGGATAATTTACTGAATATTTTAAAGTTTTCTCGAAATTTTGTCTTTTTACTTTCAGTCTATCATTAAAATCACGAGTATTTATTTTCCTCATTTCTTTCCAATCATATACAAATATGTCATATTTATAATAAAGATGTGAATAATTTCTTTCTTCACAGTTTACAATTCCATCTCCCTCCGATTTTAATAATTCATCAAAATAGTTTTTTAAATTATTAATAGTTATCTTCGGGGTATAATTAATATAATACTTTTGCTGTAAGTAGTTTAATACCATTATCAATAAAATTAAACAATAATTATTATAGAAAATCTTTTTTTTTTTCTTTAAAAAATATTGTTTGACAAATCGAAAATAAGGTATTTTTTCATGATTTATAATAAAATAATATTAGAAATTAGAAAATTTAAAAAAAATTTTAATTAACAAATAAAAAATATACCCAATTTGTTTGTTATATGCTTTTTTCAGTAACAAATTTCGTTTTGACTGATCTAAATTATTATACAAATTATTCTCCCTTTTATTTATAAAAAATACTAGAAAATTGTTAATTGTCAAAAAAAAAATTTATTAAGAAGTAGGAGATATACCCATTTTATGCATAATTTTTATTTCTCAATAACAATATTGTTTACAAACTCATTTTTTCTTTTCGGAAGAAAAACATTTCAAATTCCCATTTCTTAATATTTTTATAAAAAATTCTTAATTTTCATAAGGATAAAATTTGCATCAATTCTATTTCTTAATTTCAATTGTTTTAATAAAATTCAGTTTTTTAAAAATAAAGAAAAAAAAATTTTTATAAATTATATTTGTCAATTAGAAAATTTAATTGAAAATGAAACTGAAATCTAAAATTTAAACAAAAATTCATTTTCAAATCAATTTTTATTAGAAAATTCTACGAGAATTCAATTATTTAAATACAAAAGTAAATTATTTATTGAATAATTGAATGTTTCTTAAAATTTAATTCTTATAAAGAAATTTATTAACAAATTTTGTAAATAATTGAATTCATTTTTTTTAATAAAATAGTAGATATTGAAAATCATTGAAATGTGGAAAATTATTGAAAATAATTGAAATTTTGACAAGAATTTTATTAAAATTTTTGAATATAATTGTATTCCTGCAAAGAAATTCTAATATTTTTGTAAATAATTGAATTTTTCTTAAAAAAATTTTAAAAAAAACATTTTTTTAAATAATCGATTTTTTCGAGGAATTGAAATTATATTTTTAAGAATAATTACATTTTTTGTGCAATTTCTGTGAAATTGTATTAAAAATAATTGAATTCCAGAAATTAATTTTATTATTTATGAAAATAATATTAAATAGTTGCAAACAATTTTATTAAAAATGCAAAAAATAATTGAATTCCTGAGAAGAATTTTATTATTTACGAAAATAATTGAATTATTGCTAAGATTTTTATAAAAAAAAATTATATAATTGAATTCCTGAGAAATTTGTATTATTCATGAAAATAATAGAATTCTTACGAACGATTTTATTAGAATTTTTTTAAATAATTGAATTTTCAAGAAAAAATTTGTTACATTTAAAAATAATTGAATTCTTGCGATGAATTTTATTACTTATGAAAATAATTAAATTGTTGCAAAGAATTTTATTAAAATTTTCAAAAATAATTGAATTCCTGAGAAGAATTTTATAAAAAATTTTTGAAAATAATTGAATTTAAGAGCAATTTGAAACTTCTGAAATTCAATTTTTTTTAGGGTTTTTAACTAAAATTCTTCCATTTATTTTTATAATTTATTTATGATAATTGTAAACGCAACTCTTTTAAAATTGAATCAATTTTGAAATATTAAAGTTAAAATTATTCATTAAATTATTTTCTTTATTTTATGATAGTTGTTCAAGATTTAAGTTATTTAAAAAGAAATTTTTGTCATAAATTGAAAAATAGGTTTTGTATTAGAATTCGTGGTAATTTTATAGTTTATGAGTCAAAGAAAAAAGACTGACAAAAATTCAGAATTTTCATATGAATTCTAAAAATTTAATTTTTTTCGGTACTTTTAATAAAAATTCCTGACTTTTTCCTGATTCCCAATATGTCAGAATATATGATTATATATACAATAAGAATTGTTGCTAGTGAAAAATAAAAAGTTATCCTTTATTTATTTTTTTTGAGCAATTAACTTTTAAAAAAATGAATTAAATATTTGAAAATTAAATAGAATTTATTATTTGTACCTTTTCGTAAAAATCAAGGTGATCCATATTCATTTTCAAGTAGAAAGAGTTGCTTTGACCAAATGTTGTTGGTATTATTAATTTTTCAAGAATTTTTGTGTGATTTAAAATGAGTTGGTATGCATTATTTACAACCGTTTGATCAGTTTGAGATTTCTTTTCTAAAATATTAGAAACCGTAGTAAAATCTATATGTATTAATTTTACAATTTCAAATAATTGTTTGCCTAGATAGTAATCAGAGATCTCACAATGCCAAAACAGATTGTATTCAAATTTACAGACACTGCACGTAATGTTTTCAATTGCAATATAAATATCATTTTTGAACTTTTTTGCTGACTTTTCATCCATTGATAAATTTTTTTTGCTTTTGTTGAAATATATTTGAATATTTTCTTTGAAAGTATTTAGTAATTTAAATAGTCTGTTTGGTGTGAGCGATTCGACCTCTACTCTCATTTTATTCGAATGACAACTAAAACTGTCCAAATGATTTTTGAAAATTTCCACTATTAAGTTGCTAATTCTTAGACTGTAGTTTCTATTTTCAAACAACTCTGTATAGTTAATTGGAATTTCTTGCTAAAAGTGGAAAAATTTATTTTTACAATAAAAATTGAAAAGAAAATTATTAATTATTGTTTCTAATTTTAAAAAAAGTGACATATTTTTACTGGCTTAAATATTAATTATTGAATCATACCTTATTGAAATTCTGACCATCTTTCTGCCTATAAGAAGTCACATTTCTATCGTCCACCACATTTGTTTCATTAACATTTATTTTAAACTTTTCCTTTTCATTATTTTCAGTAATCAATGTTTCATTATAATTTTGTTGTAAATTATCATTTACAAAAAATATCCAGAAATAAATAACCAGATACAAGAGTGCTTGAAACTCTATCATTTTTTTACTTTTCAATTCACACACGGAAATATAAGAAAATGCCTGAAAATAATATTTCTACTTCTGTATAGTTTAAAGTTCTAGCCACGTAAATAAAATCAAAAGTTTAAACGTGCTGTAATTTTACTGGGCATTGGGTACTTGACAAATATTTAAACGATAATTGATAAATTGAAATGTAACACATTTTATTTGCTTTAAATAAATTTTCCGACATCTGTACCTAATAAAAATTATCCACTATTTGCGATAATCGTTTTACAAAAAAATGTATGGAAATTTTTTAACTGCTTTAAAATGTTTCTTTTTATTTTTGCTTAAATTCTTCTAATTTTCCTAGATTTTTTTCTTTTCTTTTAATATACATTTAATTAATTATTAAAAATTATCTATGTTCGTATTTAAATAATTAAATTCTCGTAGAATTTTCTATTAAAAATTGATTTGAAAATAAATTTCAGTCAAAATTTTAGATAGTTAATAATTGAATATTAAAATCATTATATTGATAAGTAAAATTAATCAAATTAAAAGTATGAATTGTGATTTTTAAAGGGTTTTTCACGAGCTACAAGCTGGTGATAAAAAAAAGTTGTTTCCTTTCAATTTGACCTTGAAATTCAAGGTCAAATTTTTAATTTCAATATATCTCATAATCGGTTTTTTTTAATTTTTTTTTCTAACCTATCCCAATGGAAAGCTTTCCTTTTTTCCTATGAGCTATGTAAAAATCAGAGTGGGACCTTGAAAATTTTTGAAGAAAATAATTATAAATCATCATTTTCTATATACAATAATGATAAATTATGATTTTCTGCAAAAATTTTCAAGGTCCCACTCTGATTTATACATGGCTCATAGGAAAAAAAGGTAAGCTTTCCATTGGGATAGGTTAGAAAAAAATTAAAAAAACCGATTTAGAGATATATTGAAATTAAAAATTTGACCTTGAATTTCAATGTCAAATTGAAAGAAAATAACTTTTTTGTCCTAGCTGCACGAAAAGTATGTCATTTCGGGCACTTAAAGTGGGCGCAAAGTAACTGATTCTCGCCCGGGGCCGGGGAAGCGGGCGCAAAAGTTCTTTTACGCCCGCTGACGTCACACAAGCGGGCGCAAAAGTACTTTTGCGCCCGCTTCATCTAGCCCGAGCGGGCGCAAAAGTACTTTTACGCCCGCTTGCTGTACTTTTGCGCCCGCTTCGCTCGTGCCCTCAATGCCATACTTTTTATGCAGTTAGGACAAAAAATTATGTTCGCAACATGGGCGCAAAGGTGATTACGACTTTGGCGAGATTTCGGGACCTCGGGGACACTTTCGCACCCTCGGCTTCGCCTCGGACGCGAAAATGTCCCCTCGGTCCCTTCATCTCGCCATCGCCGCAATCACCTATTTTGCGCCCTTGATACGATAATAACTATTTTTCATCACCAGCTTGAAGCTCTTTGTAAGAGTTTGTAGAGGTTGCTTTGTATTCCTAATTGTCAAATTTGCATATATTCATATTTGTGCATTTAAGATAATGATTTTGTAATATAAATTAAAAAAACAATTTGGCGTTTTTTTGACAGTTAAATAAATTTTGGATTACAAATATTGTCTGATCACAATCTATAATCTAATAATAAAGTTGAATAAAAAGAAAAAAATGATATAAAATTAAACTTTTGTGTCCACGTGGACATTTGTATTGACCCCCCCTCCCCCTCGTGGAAAATCGTGGATTTTTGGCGAATCCCCCCTCCCCCCTAAACTGTCCATGTGGTATATGGACGACCCCTAACTCAAAAAATATTTTATCAAATTCAAAAAAGGAAAAGGTCCGTAATTTTTTATTTTTGGTCCGTAAAGTCCGTATTTTTAAATACTTTCACTGGTTCGAGCCCGAAATTTTGCACATTTGAAAAAATTTTGATTGTCCCATCAATTAGCAAGCTGACTTCACATCTGTTTCCTTATAGGTCAGCTGGTGAAAAAATAAACTTTCTGCAAGTCTCGTATAATATATACAAACGATTCTTTCTGTCTTGCTGTATATTAGATCGGCCCAGACTGTAGCCTAGTTTACAAGGTCAGGGGATTTAAAAGCGTGGGCTTAGAACAGATATTTGCTCTCTTATCATTCAGGATGTCCTGAACAATAAAGGGCGTCTTCAACTGATAACATTTTTTTTCGCAAAAAAAAAGTTCTGAAATATTCTCACGACTAGTAATTAGTAAACGCACATATTGTTATCATCTAAAAATTAGACTATTTTATTATTAACAAAATTTTAATCAAAACAAGGTCACATTTTTAGTTTAAAGTTCTGCAACTTTTTTTAAAATATTTTTTCCATATGAAAATTGTGAAGAATTTTTTATTTTTAAACTATCTCATCATGCGCTCCAGCATATTCTGACTTTTTATCCAATAATTCACAGTATTGTGATTATTTTTTACCACACGTTAAAAGAAAAATTTTTTTTTGCTCTTTGTAATTTGATGCATTCTTTCCGTTCACGTGATAATTTTATTTTTAAGAGCAAAACAAGTTTGAACTTGAGGTGCCACCTGTTTATTTTTCACGAACAGTTTGTGAAAAAGTGGGTATTTGCCTCTATTTTGCGTCGATAGTCATTAATTATTATCACACTACCGATAAACTTAGTTCACTCTTCATGGATCAATGCGCTTTATTTCCCAGGGTTTGAAATTTATTCACTATAAACGATTGGTTGGATTTTTTTTTTATAAATTATAAGTTAATTTTAATCGACATTTAAACATATGACTATTAAAAATTATATTTTAATACACTCGAGAATAGAATTACTGGATCGATTTAATATGAGAGGCGGTTTGGTTGTAATAATCGACATTCTTGAACTAAATCAGTCATTTTTTTTTCTTAAGCGCCTCTTTTCTGTCTCTCGTGCAAAATCTCCAAGGCGTGAGAAAAGCAGTTTATCAGGTCGAGTGTGTGACTGACTCGTGATTATTTTTTTCTCTTCTCTTTTATTTATAATTTCCGCGCCTTGTCTCGCTCGACATGCACATCCACTCATGTTATTGAACGGACATACGGTAGATTATCGTTACGAAACGATTTATTATTGTTGTCCTCGTCAAGGCCAACAATGAGGTGGCGGCTCTCCATACGTACTTGGAGAGTATCATGCGTGCCGATAATAATGTCCACCCATATAGCATAAAATTTATTGTGTATGGAATTCATCATCATATTACAATACAACATTGTGATTCGGTTAAAAAAATTCCCCTCTGGTCGAATTTGCATTAAAACTGACATGAATCGTCAAAATTACATTACAGGAATCTGTTTATCGACATTTACCGACATTTCTAACAATTTTAAAGCAAGAAAAATCGTTACAGGAATCTGTTTACCGACATTCCTAACAATTTTGAACCAAGAAAAATCGTTACAGGAATCTATTTACCGACATTTCTAACAATTTTGAAGCAAAAAAAATCGTTACAGGAATCTGTTTACCGACATTTACCGACATTTAGAATCAAATAAAAAAAATCGTTATAGAAATCTGCTTACCGACATTTACCGACCATTAGTCCAAAACAAAATGCTACGGAATAGGCTACTTTTTAAAAATTAATTATCGAGTGCGAAGTCTGAAATCGTTACAGGAATCTGTTTACCGACATTTACCGACGTCTGCAGTAATTGCCAATCAAACAAAAATAAATCGTTACAGGAATCTGTTTACCGACATTTACCGACATCTGCAGTAATTGCCAATCAAACCAAAATAAATCGTTACAGGAATCTGTTTACCGCCATTTACCGACTTTGATGTGGAATATTTCGCTGTCAGATTGCAGTGAAGTAATGGAAACGAATATCTTCATCTCGAAGTGAAATTTCCATTAGGAGAAAATAAGTCCTATGACTGTCTCTTCAGTTACAACTCTCGAGGAAGAGAGATTACTTTATACTGTTCTCTTCTCTTTTTGCAGTCATCCACCCTTGAAGATAACGAAGACGTCTTCTCGTCTCTTCTGGCCTTGAATGACCCACTTAATATGGACATTTTCCAACAAAGCTCTTATATATCTAATCTACAAACTTTATTCTTCTCTCTCTCTCTCTCTCTCAACTGCAATTGTTTCCAGTACTTTTGTTCAGCGAAAATATATGGGACGAAATATCCAAGTGATCCAATTTAGAGGCAAAGTTTTTTAACCATACAATAAAACTTGTATAATAATAATTCTCAATTTTGAGAAATTCAAAAAATAATGAAAAAATTTCTTCAAGATTCTTTTCTTCCTGACAAAGTTAGGGGGATTCCCCTAATGACGAAGGGAGGGGATTCCCTTTCCTTCATCAGAAGGGGATTCACATAAGCGAAGAGTGGGAGGGGGGATTTTTTTTCCAGCTAGAAAACTTCTAACAACTGCCGACTTATTTATTTGGCAGCAGCTGTAAATTTTGAAGTCCATTGGGGAAAAAAAATAAACACCTGCGCTTTGGTTGGCCAATTTAGAGGAAGTCCCAGGAGTAGCGAGGATGTGGGTCAGTAGGTGAATCGCACCAAAGAGCGCACGAGAGTGTCCCGACATTGACCCATATCACTGTGTGTGTACCCCTTCCATCTGACCTGTACCCACCCCTGCATATCCACGTGTCTTCTGCTCCCTGTTCACTACCTCGATGCCCTTCTGGAGCATTTTTGGTTCAGTGACGAGAGTGGCGAGACTGAAATGCACTTTTATCCCCCCACCCCTCTACCTATCGACTCGACGACCCTGGAACCAACAACTTTTTTTGTTTCCTAACAAACCAGGGCAAATTTTGAATCTCGGACTTTTTTTGCGTTACAAAATATTTTTTTAACGTAATGACAATTATAATAAGTTGAGGGATTTAAATATCTTTGTCTTTGGCCATATGGTATATATTCTAAAACTTTTAGTATATTTCCAACTCATTTTTTTAATATTAGTTGATATTCTTAAAAGAAGAATATATTCTATGATTTTTGTTACCAATGTTTAAAAATCAACTTTTGAGGAATTTTAATTTTTTGAAAACAATTGAAATATTAAAAATTTTGA